ATAGACCTGAAAGTTTGCCAAGGTTCCAACTAAGACAACTATGTAGATAAGAATATATGTTACATATGTATAAAGGCTACTTAAACTATAAAACAAGCTGGGAAGAGTGGCCCTCACCTGTAATCCCAGCACTCTGGGAGGCTAAGGCAGGAGGCTCCCGAATCCCAGCCCAGCCTGGGCAAATTAGCAATTTAGCAAGATCCTGCCTCAAAATTAAAAAAAAAAAGGCTGAGGATGTAGCTCAGTGAAGGCCCTGGGTTCAATCCCAGTACTGCAAAAACACCACCAAACAAAAACAAAATTAAGAACACTACTGATAAACATAACAGGTAACAACTCAGCAATCCAGATCGCCTGGTGACCCAAGTACTATTTTCATGATTCTCTGAAATGTTTAGACAACCAATATCAACATGATAAAGCCTGGCCAGTCAAGCATCTAAGATATTGATAAGACAGCAAAAGTGGGGCAAAAAACTGAGCAGCAGTGACTACTAGTTTGATTTCAAGGGTGGAAGACTAATTCACATACTGCTGAAGTCTCAGTATCAAAGCAGACTTGCGAGCTCTATTTGTCACATGCTCACTGCCCCCCATTATTTCTTTTCAGTCACTTTGCTACTAACCTAGATTTGCTAAGAGTCTTCACTTCTCATTATTCCTAAATAAAAGACTTCCTAATGGATCGCCCCACCTCCAGCTTCTGTGGTTTCTAATCCATCGAATGCAGTGCAGGTTATGATGCGTGCCTAGGGTCAAAACTGTACTGGTTTCCCCACAATTGCTCCTGTAAACAGAATTCCCTTAGCTTAACCTTAAGGTCTCCTCCTTAAGGTTGAGTACAACTTTATTTTCCCTCCCTCTCTTTTCCCCCTTCCATCATCCCTTCCTCCCTTTCTTTGTCTGTCTTCTGAGACAGGGTCTCACTATGTACAAGTAGTTCAGGCTGGCCTTGAACTCTCAATCCTCCTGCCTCAGCCTCCCTAGCACTAGGATTATAGGTGTGAGCCCCTATTCTCAGTTCTGGGCACAACTTTCTCTCTCAGTTTTATCTCAAAATTATTATGCCCACTTAGTACAACTAATCTGGCACCACAGGTATGTTGTTTCCATAAGCGTTCACTACACCTTCCCACTTCTATGACAATCTCTTCATCCCTTCCTCTTCCTCCGAGTGCCCCAGCCGACATACAATTTGCTTTCAATACAGGTGAAACTAAATACATTTTTAAAAATGTACCAGAATAGCTAGAAGTGGTGGAAGATAGAAAGATGAGGAGGTCCTCAAAGAGTTTATAAAAGAGCTAGGTGCTAGGACACAAATGTGCAATTTCAGGTGCTAAGAAGGCTGAGAAGAATCATAAGTTTGAGACCAGCTTGGGCAACTTAGCAAGATCTTGTCTCAAAATAAACAGATAGATAGATAGATAGATAGACAGATAGGGCTGGAGATGCAACTTATTAGTAGAGCACCCCTTTGTTCAATCTCTAGTAGAGAAGGAAGGAAGGAAGGAAAGAAGGAAGAAAGGAAGGGAGGAAGGAAGGGTAGGAGGGAAAGAAGGAAGAGAGTTTATAAAAGGGCAGGAAATAAGAGCGCTAGAGGCCAGGCGTGGTGGGGCGTACCTGCACACCTGTAGTCCAGGCACTTGGGAGGCTGAGGTAAGAGGATTGCTGTGAGTTTGAGGCCAGCCTGGGCTACATAGTGAATTTGGGGCCAACCTGAACTACGTAGCTAGCACTTGTCTCAAGGAAAAAAAAGTGCTAGAGGAGGAAAGAATACTACACTTACTCTCTTCACTTTCCTAACATGGGGACATGTTTTGGGTATCTTTTGAATAAATAAGCATCAAGAACACTGTCTTACACATGCAGTCATTCAGTGTCTAATCCAGATCTCTTAACTCTTCTTTTCTGTCTTGATTTAAAAATATATACTTCCATCTTGGGCAAATGTCCTTTATATATCTCTACCATTTATTCTAAAGTAGCCCATTCAGGATACCAATCAAAGATAGGCTAATATTAAACCTGAAAATTGCTACTGCTTTTTGCTTAATGTCTTACAATAAAGAGAAGTACCTAAAAATACGGTTAGTTCCATCTAGTTGATTAATTTTCTCCATAAAAAGCTTAGAGAGGTTCCTTTTTTCTTTGTTGTTAAAATATACTTCGGCGACCACAACGTTAGGTTCCTTACAAAATAACTTTGGCTCTTACTACTGCTCTCTGAAAACCATAATGTTCTTTCTTTATTGAGCATACAGCTACTCAGCCTCAAAAATTTTCCAATATATGTAACGTACTTACCATGTTTTGAAAGTTCGGGTCAGTGTAACTGTTTTTGTCTCCCACGCAACCTCTAGAATTTGCGAATGCTGATATTACTACAGTTACAGGAGAGACAAATTTAAATCTATCATTGTAATTTCTATCAAAATTCTGGCCATATTTAGGAAAAAAAAAAGCTATGTCCCTGGGTCAATGAAATTAAAATACTGTAAAACAAAATGAGAAATCCTATCAACTTCCTGCACCTGAGGTCCTTCCCACCCAATTAAAAAGAAATAAAAATTTGGGCCTGGAAGACCAAACTGTAAGTTTCTATTTTCCTAGAACTTGGTGCCATTATTAACCATATGCTTCATTAAATTAATACCACATAGGACACTGTCATCATATATGGAATGAAATGGAGAGGTGTAATGTATATTTCTCTTCTCCAGCTAGGAATTCATGAAAAACTAATGAAATAGCGAAAAATGGGGCCACGCACAGGTGGTTTATTTTTCCTAGCATGTATCAAGCACAGGCAAGAGGTAGTAACTTTAAAAGACCTTACACTTTTATAGTGTTCATGAACTACTGTAAAAAAACGAACACTTTGTTCTCCAACGATAAGTTAGGATACTGAACAGAAAAAGCTAGCTTTACCTCCCGATGTGTGTGCAGTATGTGTTGACCAGTGAGACTGAATCATAGTAGGTCATTACAGAAGTAGGGGGAAGACTTCCTGCAATAAAATATTTCCTTAAATGACAACTTGTCAAGTTGCAAATGTTTTATCTCCTTCCCACCGTTGTGGGGATAAGAGCCACAGGCAGTAATTAACTGAAATAAGAGGCAGATTTGCTTAAAGGCTAAATAAAACTCTGGAGGCTTTGTTGTAATACAGGCAAAACTCCTGCTCAGTGAATTTTCTTTGTTTTTAAATGCCTCTTTACAAAGGAGGGAGACAAGTTTTCGAGTTACACAAGAGGTCCCTCACAAGACAATTACTAATTCAAAGGTCTTCGGACTGTCCTGCTATTTGTCCCGTGTTAAGACAATACATTCAAAGAACAGGACGGGATAGAAGGAAAAGACAAAACGCACACGTACAATCGGAGACAGCTCCTCCTGCTTCGTGCCCAGATTTTTCACAGCCTTGCCCGCAACACCCATGGTCGAGCCCAGAAAGCCCTGGAAAAGGGAAGCCCCTGGCGGCCTCAGCGGCAGCCAGGACTGGCGGCGAGGAGCCCGGCTGCGGCATTCGCCCAGCCCGCCGCGCGAGCCT